CTGCTTCCTTTCTTTTTCCAAAATGGAAGAGTAAGCTCTGCAGCTGTGAGCAGTGTTGAGCTGCCCACCGTCTCTCGAGCTCTTTTGATTTCTGCTTTCTATTATCCTGAATTTTTGAAAAGTAATCAAAATACAACCATCAGGAACTCGTGCATATTGTGGCAGAAGTCTTAAGGCCACTCCTGTTGTGTCGGATTTATCACAGTGTAATTTGTAGCCGGGAACGGAAGCTTCCTGTTGTCAGCAGTTGTTTGTAGAAATAGCCTGCATTACCTCGCTTTCTAGTTTGATGGGAATCTGGTAAGTTTACCGCTATAGCCAACCAAGAAAGAAATGCAACATAATGAGGCAAACTTGCTGTTGTTGCATTTCATTTTTTTAAATGGATTAAAGGAAATTCGATTCCAGTGCTCAGCTCGGTTAAGAAACCACACATCAAATCTTAACAAGAAGGAATTTTCCAGTAATAGTCTTTTAGGACAGCACTGAATAAAGAATTCAGTCTAAATGCATTTGCACCGTCATTTTCTTCCTTTATTGTTTTATGTTTTTGTGCACAAAAAATCAAAGAAAAATAGAAATGTTCTCTTTTATTTCCACAGTGGCTATGAATTTGACTACGACTACTACAGAGATGACTTCTACAGTAGGTATGTTTAAAAAAACAAAACAAAACATTGGCTCACTGGTAAATAACACACGTCTTTGTCATTTGCAACTTTTCTTTTTTCAACCAGTCCCTTTCCTCCCGATATTTTGCCCTTAGTATACACATCCTTTCTCCCCATTTCCCATCTTGAATAAAGATGATTTTTGAGCAGAATGGCCCCATTTCCTTCTGAGGCAAAGTAACTACATTATCACAGGCATAATGAATGTCATATTGAGGAGGTTTTTATTCCTCTCCGTTGGGCTTACTAATGATGCTTTTATCCGCATAGCCGGGTACTGAATGTCAGATAGTCCCCCGGCTGGTCATTTGCGCTGGCAAGGCACAGAATGTATCTTCATTCTGACATTTTCATTGGTTTGTTTACTTCCTCTTCTTTGCAATATCCCCAAGAGCAGAATCCTTCAGCTTTGAGTCATTATTGCTATTTTGGCAATTTGATATGTCAAAGGCAACTGGGAACAGGCTTTGATTGAATTGCTTTGGCATTGTTCAATGTGTACCTCTATCATTCAGACATCTTTTGCAGCATGTCTATTAGGTGCTTTGTAAGTGTTCCTTGCTGCTTGAATAAAAACATCTGACCAAAAACAAGGGAAACCACTTGCTGTTCAGGTCCCATAGTGATTACAGAGTTATATCCCCACTTTTTTTGTTTTGTTATTTCTCTGCATTGTAATACTCTTGGAATATTTCTGTTGCTACAACTTTATTCTTCATGTGTCTTCAGACTGTTTGAGTACCACGGCCGTGTTGTGCCTCCGACCCGAGCTGTGATCCCCATCAAACGCTCACGGCTAGTTGTCCCAACCACACGCAGAGCCAAATCCTCTTTTCCAGTCAGGGCTTGCTCTTCCTCTTCCTCCTCCTCCTCTTCCTCCTCCCGAGCACTCAATGTCGGCTCTTCCATCACTGGCCCTAAACGTATGTTTGGTGGTTTTTCTTTGTCCCTTTTTGTTCCTATAGTGTCCTGCCATCTCTAAAGGATGTTGTGATTGCCAAATGATGTTTTCTAAATGTGATTTTTATGTGATTGTTTGTTTTAAACTTACCTCCATGTCCATTTTTGGGGTTTGAGTCAAGTTAATGGCAAAGAAAATAAATTCAGCCGCTACAAAGAACATTTCCTATTATCATAACTTTGAACACATGTTGGCGGGTATCATTTCTGCCCATTATGATGGAAATGTACTCAGCAAGTGTAAATGCTAAGCTCTGGAAACAAAAAAACAAGGTTAATAATCGAAAAAGGTCAGGCCTGCAATTCCTGATTATTTTCATTAGTAGTCTTGATAGTCCCTCTTGAACTGATTAGAGTATACACTCACTGGACACTTCATTAGGTACACTCAAATATTTAGTCAGCCAATCACATGGCAGCGACTCAAAGATTTTAGACATGACATGGTCAAAATAAATCTGTTATATTAGGAACATATGCACTGTATTAGATGTAATTACAAGCAAATTCACAAATTGGTTTTGAACTTCACTAAACCAAATTTAAGAATAGGGAAGAAATCTGATTTCAGTGACTTTGAACATGGCATCATGGGACCAGCCATCTCAATATGTCAGAAATTCCTGATCTACAGCCAGCTCTAGGGTTTACAGAGAATCTGAAAAAGAGAAAACATTGAGTGAGAGACAGTCCTTTGGTGGAAAATGCCTTGTTGATGCCAGAACACAGAGGAGAATGACCAGATCGCTTTGAGGTATTAGGAAGACAACAGTTAATCCAATAAACCGGCATTACAACCACACACAACATGCCTAACCTCGAAGCAGATGGACTACAGGAAACTGAGGATACAATTCACATAAGCTCAACAAAACCAGATAATAAAAGACTGAAAAAGCATTGTCTGGTCTGGTGAATCTCAATTTCTGCAATGAAGTTTGGATGGTATGGTCAGAATTTCACAATTTTACAAAGCATGGATCTATCCTGCTTTGAATTAATGGTTCGGGCTGGTGCTGTCATAATAATAATAATAATGGATTGCATTTATATAGTGCTTTTCTAGGCACCCAAAGTGCTTTACAATGCCACTATTCATTCACTCTCACATTCACACACTGGTGGAGGCAAACTACGGTTGTAGCCACAGCTGCCCTGGGGCAGACTGACAGAAACGAGGCTGCCATATTGCACCATCGGCCCCTCTGGCCAACACCAGTAGGCGGTAGGGTAAAGTGGCTTGCCCAAGGACACAACGACCAGGACAGAGAGAGCAGGGGGATCGAAACTGCAACCTTTCAGTTACAGATGAGCTTCCCAATCCCTTGAACCATGGTCACCCCCAAGGCATGGAGGAAACTTTCTTTGCTCAATTTGGGCCTCTTAATATCAACTGGGCATTGTTTAAATGCCACAAACTACTTGAGTATCGTTATTAACCATGCCCAGTGCCTTTTTGACCACAGTGTACCCATCGTCTAATGGCTGGTTGTAGCAGGATATAAAGCCATGTCACAAACCTCAAATCTTCTCAAACGGGTGTCCTAAACAAGACAGTGAGTTCACTGTACTCAAATGTCCTCAACAGTCTCCAGATCGCAGTCAAATAGAGCACCTTTGGGATGCGATGCAGGGGGAGATTTGCATCATGAATGTGCACCCAACAAATCTGCAGTGTGCACTGTGTGATGCTATCATATCAGTGTTGAACCAAAGGTTTTGAGGAATGTTTCCAGCATCTTAATGAGTCTTTGTTAATTAACACAAAGAATGAAGAATGAAGGCAGTTCTGAAGACACAAGGAGGTCCAACCTGGTCCCAGTAAGGTGTACCTAATTAAGTGTCTAGTGAGTGCATTAAAAAAAAAATTATTGTAATTTTTAAGATGCCAAAAGTGACATTTACATACTTAGTTTGTTTGTTTTTTCACCAAACTGTCCAAAAACCCCAAAATAATAAGAGATTTTCATACAAAGCAAAGAAAAGTGGCTTATCCTCTCATTGGCGATGTAAAAAACTGTAGTGATTTCCAAATGCTGAATCATTTTCATGTCAAAACTGTCGTTGAATGTGATTTACTTTTGAATAAATGAGTCAATTTTTTAAAAACACTTTGATTTTAATAAGAGGTTAATGTGCAAGCTATTTTGATTGTTGAGGCAAAAACCGTCAAATAATGCAATAAAATGGGGAGGAAAAAAATGACCATAATGACTTCCTAAGCTAACCGAACAGATTCACAAGAAATTGTCACGTTTGAAAAGCTGGGAGAAGTGAATGTTTTAAATATTTTCTTCTTGAAAAATGACTTTATTATGGCATTTATTATCATTTGATTTTAACAATCATTGTTAATTAATCTTCAGTCAGGTGACAAAGCCAGCCATTGTCAAACTTAAGAATGTCTTGGCCAAATTTGAAACCTGTACCGACTGAACCTTTAATCAAAACTCTGATTGAAACACAAGACTCCTTCTTTGTGTTTTCTCTGATTCCTTTTGATCTTCTGGTGATTTGCTTGTTGAGGCTGAATCTTCATTAAACACTTTCCCTTCCCTTGCCAACTGAAAAGAAAAACAAATCATTTGAATCTCACATATTTTCTTTAGTAGTTCTGATGACCTTTTTAATGCAAATATTTAAGCTGTTCCTTTGTAGCTTCAAGCTAATTACATGTTTGTACATTAGAAACTTTGACCTCCTGCAGACCACCGCCACACACTTTAGGAATGACTGGGATAAACAGTAAATTGTTTTTTTCTTTTCTTGAGATGCATTGAAACTCATTTAAACCAGAGTTTTTATTCATGTTAAAACAAAAGTAAGCACACCAGAAATGTCGTGAATAAACCAAAATTATACAGAATAAATCTTAGATCAGAGTCTCAGCTAGTTGTTTGGTTATTTTTTGTATTTTCTGCTCTGTGTAGCATTTCTGCATCATATTGCTCATCACTTTCTATTGTTTTACAGCAGGCAGGCAGCTGTTTTCTTATCATCTAAGCTAGTAACAAGGTGGTAAATCTAATAGTAAGAGCCAGATCTTTCCTCTACAAAAATTGAGGTAAAACACGGCTAAGAAAGAAACATTTTTGCTGGTAGCAACAACAGTGAGATTATGGCTTTAGCAGCTGGTGTACTGTTCAAACTCTCGCATGCTTATTATTATTCTCCCCTCAATGCAACACAGTGAGATTTCCTGCTTTTCATCAGTTGTGCCACATTTTCAGTGAAGAACTTGACTGTTGAGAAGAGTCTGCTGCTGTCACAGTGTCTCTTGTAGAACATCCCATTAATTATGCTTTTTAAGTTTATTAATGTATGCTTGCAGTGAAGACAGATCAGCTTCTAACAATCAAAAAGGAACTGTCGCAAATCAAGACCAAGATCGACTCACTGCTGGGAAGGCTTGAGAAGATAGAGAGGCAACATCGCTCTGATGCCGGTAAGATTTGACAGCCAGGAGGGGAGGACCTGTCTGATGAGCATGCATAGAAAAATGGGGAAGATGCTGAGAGAGGCCGCCATGTACTGAAATAAAAGCCACACAAACAGTCTTTGAGGAGAGATGACGGAATGATACTGAACATATTAAATGCTTGTTCAGAGGCTTGTCTGAAATACAGGTTCTTCTATTATCAAAACAAGATAGAAAGTCTATAAATCTATTATGCTCTGATGTTAACTGCCAGTCTTTGTCTCTTGATGTCTTTTGCCAGAGATGCAGAGGAAGCAGGAGGAGGTGTGCGAGTGTCTCCATGGTGATGCAGCAGACCACTCTGGGGGGGAGGAAGTGGAGGGGACGGCTGAGGTTGAGGCAGGGGAGATGACAGACGGTGGTGAAGATGACTTTGAAGATGAAGGCACAAGCGACATGGTGAGCAGGCCAAGTACCCATGTACAGTATTAATAAGAAGTTATTTGGTTCCAATTTAGCTGCGAAGTGTGCGTGTGTGCGTGCGTGTCTGCAAAAGTCCCAAGAAGTCCTACTTTCCTACAGATTTTCTTGTAATTTTTTAAAGTGGTCTTGATTCATATTTGTGCAGGCTTTCTGAAGGTCCTTCAAAGTTTTTCTTTGGACACTCAAAGTCCACTCCCCCCCCTCCACACACACACACGTAGAGGCACAGTATTGGCAGTACTTCCCTAGCTTCCAAATTACACAATAACGGGACAGAAAATCGTTGGCAACAAGGCCTGTAGACTGATGAATCCAAATCGTTGTCATCATTAGTGTAAGTCATTGCCCATTGCCAGTATGCACAGAGGTCAGGAGAGAGGTATAGTGGTGAGCGTCTACACGGAACATGGAACTATGAATGCAGAGCAGAACCATCAAATTTCAATCCACCAATACAATCTGCAACACAGCTGATGTCATTTTCTTTTAGCACGACAGTGATCCAAATACATTGTCAATGCTGTAAAAGCCGATAGTAGCTGAGGAGAAACACAGTCATGAATCACCCCCCTCCCAGAGCCTGGACCTCAACATTTTGGAAGCAGTGTGGGATCATCTTGAGAGAGAACAGAATAAAAGGCACCCAACTTTCAAAGAAGAACTTTGATTGTCCTTCAAGAAGCCTGGAGAACTATTCCTGAAGAATACTTTAAAAAAAAAATTACATGAAAGCTGTCTGTGAGACTTCCGGCTGTGTTGAAGAATAAAGGTACTCACACCAAATATCAACTTTTGAGTACAGCAGAATTATAAAAACTCTGTTTTTGCCTCTTTTTCTGTATATCCATGTATGTTTGGACGTTTCCCATCCCATCTCCCAAGCAAGATATAAATAAATGAGGGGTGTTTCAAGACTCTTGCATAGTAGTTTATCTATACTATGATGCGGAAAATGTTTTCCACTGACATAATATGCCAATAATAACAGTATGTATAATGTACATTCAACTCTGTTGTATAAATAGCTTTGCCTTAGATGGAACCATTTGAGTCATACAGGATTCTCTCAAAACTAAAAGGTGAAATGGTCATGAAAAAGTAATCAGATTGTTCGTGGTGACGGATACAAAGTTTTGCTGTCTTTTGTGACAATCAGCATGATTTGAAAAGTCTAAACTATATGAGTAAAAACACTCAGAAAATGATTCTTCACCCACAATAAACACAACACAATACTCTGAAATATGTATAAAATTACATTTGAATTTATTTAATTAATTAATATTTAAGGATAATGTGCCTGGAACAAACTAAATGTGTATCAATCAATTAAGTTTAGTTTGACCAGATCCCATTAAATGTAACATTTTACATTGTACTTATGCAACAAAATTACATTGATAAATTACATATAATTAAATTAGTTGAAGTTAGAAGGGCAATTTTTTATTTTATGTTATTTTTGAGTGAGGTGTATTTTGTCTCTGTCTGAACAACATACATGCTGCAAAGTGGGGACACATTGTTGTGGCAACCAAGAAAAGTAGTAGCTGTTGTTTTAAAGCTTAATCTTAATGTGTTTTGAATTAATATTGTATTACAAAGTAATAAATATTATCAATGACAAAATAATTCGAGGTCGTCTCTATTATAAACCGCCATGAAACTGAACAAATCACATGAAAACACCAAAGTCAGCAGCACGTAACGGTGTCTGTGAAAACTTTGGCTTTCCTTCCCTGTCTCAGACAAACCTGAATGGGAGGAGTTTGTCTTCGGAAATGTATTTTACATACTCAGATTGAATAAAATGTGTGGTACTGAGCCCATCTGCCAGCAGAACTCGAAGGCAAACTTCTTCTCTGTGTTATACGCAAAGCCTCAGGCATAGAAGTTTTATAAATCTTTGAAAGCATTGTTTATTTTAATAAAAGAGTAAATAATTTAATTATGCAGTTAAAAGTGCCAGACTTTTTTTTTAAGTCACTATCTATCGCTGAGTGAGGTAACGCACGATCACTGATGAAGAGAGCGTTTATACTTAGTTTCCACGGCGACATACTTGGAAAAACTGCTGTATTGAAACCTGCCATGGCAAACCAAACATTTTCTACTGATGCCACCAAGCATTAAAAATCATTTAACTGACAAAACAAGACTAGACTTTCACAAGATATTTACAAGAAATGGGACACATCTGTCAGCTACCTCAGTAATTACTGCTGTCATTCATCTATGAAACAAGACAGCTGGAGTAACGGAACAAGACGGAGCAACAACACTAAGCTGTTAGATGAAGAGCTGCAGGTGACAAGCTATGCACCTCCAGCTCCCCAGTGAAGTTAGGCTGCTGTTTGCAGACGCTTCGCCGTGTGCAGAATGAAATCGGAGCAAAGTTTCTCACAGAGTGCTTGAAACTGATCAAACATTACTGTCTGCTACTAACTACATCACTCTCTGGATACACTTGTGAAACTTTTTGGGTGGTGCTAATTTACTGTAATGCAGTAAAAGAGCGTAATGCATGCAGCATGTCACCAATTTTTACTTTAAAAATCATAAATCATTTAACTGAACATTTGCTTTCCAGTTTTATTACTGTGACAGTTTTATTTCTCAAAACTATTCCCTTACTTTGACACTGAAAAAATAATAAGGTTATATTATCATACCTGCTTCCTGTTTTATGAGATCTGGACCCACTGTTGGGTGGTTTATTGGCTTCATTCTGCCGGCAGACTAAACTATTGATTACTGGTAATCATTAAAGCTTATATGCCTTATTCCAATAGATACTGTGGCCAAAAGGCTTAGAATAAACAAAAACCCCAAATCCCTATATTGATTTAGTGAAAACACACTGTGTAAAATGTGTCTCAGAGGACATGGATGAGATGTGAATTGATGCATATTTTCAGGGTTCGGACAAACAAAAAGAAAAAAAATAAGATTTACAAAACAAAACTAAAAAAAGTACAGCCATTTCTAAGGTTTTAAAAATCAGGACATGAAAGATCCTCAGGTATTGACCAGGTTCTGATGACTGTGGAGTCCATTTGAGTACAGTGAACTCACTGCCATGTTCAAGAAATCAGCTTAAGACAATTTGAGCTTTGTGACATGGTGCGTCACCCCACTGTGGCCATGAAGGGATGGACATGGTCCGCAGCAATACTTTGAGTGTTATTTGTCATTGAAACAATGCTCAGGTGTTACTAAATGTGTCAAGAAGATATTCCCCACACCATTACGCCACCAGCAGCTTGAACTGTTAATAAAATGCAGCATGGATCCATTTTTTTCATGTTTATGGTTTTTGTGAAATGAATAACAGAACTTGTGCGGACCAGTTAATTTTTTAAATATGTACTGATGTGTATTTCAGACTTAGAACTGGAAGTGTTTCTTTTTTTTAATGACTGTGGATTGAGCTAGAAAAGAGAAGGCTATGTTGCTGCCTAGTTATAAAAATTAATTCTTGACTGATTTAAAGCAATCTTATTTCTTTTACTGCAGATAGAGAACCACATATCGGACATTGACAACTGAGTAAGGTCAGTATTTAATCGTGGTTTAACAACACACATTTTACACAAAACTGAATTTTTTTTTGGGAATAACGTATGAAAAACAGAATCATAGAAACATTTTAGCGTCCAGCAGTTGAAAGCAATTCGAAGGATCTTTCGCTTCCTGCTTTAAAAAGAGTAACAGAGTAAGAAACATTGCTCATCCTTGAGTTTAATCCTCCAAAATGTTCTTCTAAAGGTGGGGTCATTCTCTGCATCTGGGAGCAAAAGGAAAAGCAGCTTCTCTGCAGTGATCGCTGATGACTGAACAGCCGCAGAGATGAGACTCTTTCTCATGTGCATTTCCTGTCAAACGACATTTAAATCTCCCCTGATTTTCTTTGTAAGAACAAATAGCTATGAGATTTAATTTGCCTCTTGGCTGACATTTCCTCCCTGCTGTCCTTAAGTGCCTGCGAGTGGAAGTTTTTCCTTTTTTTTTTCTCCTTCCTCAGGCGGTCTGAACATGATAGATTGTTAAGATGATGGTTTAATGAACTGCTTGTCCTCTGGTGGATATCTGAGAGGTTGCAGGTAATAACAGCAGCGTTAGAAAATTTTAATGTTGGTCCTCTTGAGTTTCCAAGCTTCACAGGAAAATTTAAACCTGCAGCTACCTTTTTTTCACATGAGGTTGCTGTGAGAGATGAAAAAATAATTTTCTTTTTTCTTTCAAGTTGGGGAATAATAAGGCTTGCATTACTGAAGATGGGAGGACAGATACCAGCAAAATCTTCTTGATCAAGGAGGTGCATTTGACATTAAAGGAAAGGAAGTGACAGACAGCAGTGGAAGAGTGTGTCAGACTTGTATTTTGCTTGTTTGCCTCATTAGAACATGCCACTGCTGATGCATACGTCATCAAAATCCTGGGTATGAATATTCTTCAGACGACTGCAAGATCTTCGCAACCAGCAGTCAGTTATTTCCCCTCGGACTGATTGCTGTTCTGAAAAATACGGACAATACAGTATATTGTGTGCTTATTATATTGTGGTCTGTATTGTGTATAAAAATACAGTTATGTGATCTATCAGAAGAAAATTTATGTCTTTTGTTGTACCTCAGATGTTTGTTTCTGTTTCTGTGCATTGAAAACTGTGAAAAGCTGCGTTGCTGGCAGAGAGCTAAATATGAATGTAACAGTAACATATTTTCTTTGACACTCATTAATTCTGCATTTTGTTTTCATTCATTTTGAGCAAATGTACAGTATGTAATTTATTCACAATGTCGCCACATGGTATTGAATGCATTTCATGTTTGTAATTTGTTCTACATGACAACGTGTATTTGAAATTCTTTACTTTCTGTTTAAAATTTTAAAAAATGAAACAGCAATTTTTGCTGTCAGCATGTTAAAAATGTGGCTATCAAGGATCATTTCATTGCCTCTGTTGTACAGCCATGGATAATAAACATTTTTGACATAAAAATCTGTCCTTCCTCCCCAAAACTGAGTGGTGTAGCTCGCATTTTTGTAAATGTATTGTTTCTTTTTCTATTTAAATGGACCTAAAGCTAAGGAAAGACGAGATATACTTCTTGCATCTAGTTTGACTGCTGATTGCATTTAATTCTTTTCGCATTTGCTAACTGATGAAAAGTATGAAAAGCTCATCCCCACCCAGAGATTGTGTTGCATGGACAGTCTCTGGGTAGGGCTGAGCATTCAATGTGTCTGACAAGGCGATTGCACAGGTCACCTAGTGGGAGATGAAGTGTTTCCAAATGCTGTCAGACAGACCTCTGAATTACAAATATTCCCCATTAAATGTAGAAATGCAGGCAGATTGTTGACATGTTGCAATCAGTCTGAGTCGGTGTACGCCGATGATTGCAACTCATCTGTATCATGTTTCTTTGCAAAAAGGGGTTCATCTAAGTTAGTTTCCAAGTGTCTTTTTTCTGGTTATATTCCTATTAAAACAAGGTTGCTGTGCACTTATGTCATTATAAAGTTAAACCACTGTTCTGCAGCAACTACGCAACTATTTGTTTCAAAACTGAGTTCTGATTAGACTCTGAATGTGAGCAATTCATTTGAATTTCTGTGTGTTATAAAGACAACAGATTTGCAGTTTTCACAGGTTTATCTCAGTGAATCATCTTATCATCACAGATTGAGGTCAAACTGACAATTAAATACAATATCATACTTAAAGACGGAATCATCTTATTGGCATATTATTAAATTCTTGATACACCAAAGTTTTTCAAGACTGAAACGTGACTCCATTCTTCTCAGCAACCATTTCCAATAAGATCGCAAGTTCATTGCGCACGGTTGTGCCGTGGTCACCAGTCACTGTTTTCCCTTGTGTGACTGCAGCATAATGCAAACATTTGAAACTTTACCAGTGCGCTAACACTATCAAGATATTTCTACTGTTAAATAAAACAGTTACTAAGTTTTCTTTAGGACGGATTTAAATATTGATAATTGAACCCTCAAAAATGCTGATTTGTTTGAAATAAATCTAAATTTTTAATCTGCACCTTACAAACAAATTAAATAACGGATTCAAAGTCTGGATAATAACAGCTGTAAGACACAAAAAATCAGAGGGAACAACAGACAAAAAGCAAGAAAGAGGAAAGCTAACAAGCTAACAGCAAGGGACATAACAGTATGAGACACCAACAGCATAGGCCTGAGTCTCATACCTGCATTAGTTTACTCATAATGTTGAAATGAAATTGTGGGTTTAGTTTATTTTCCCCTTAAAACAACTATGCACATGATGATTTCTTTATTCATCATTTAACAGTTTTTAGCGCTTACAGTTATGCAGAATCAGGCATGAAAAGGCTGCTCTTTGTGACAGGTGGGTACTGACAGACGTGTGTAGCTGCCAGCTGTCCTCTAGGCTTCACTTCTGCTAAACCTGTGTCTCTGAACTGGACCTCGTCGATGTTTGTGACCTCATAATCTCTCCTGTGATATTTAGTTTGTATACTTGGATTATTCCAATGAATGTTTAATATGTGCTAAATCTGCACAGATTTTTCCATTTTGGATTTGAAAGCAATTAAAGTCTCCCTCTACAGCCTGTTGATTCTTAGTTTCAGCAATGAAACGGAATTTAAAACAAACTATAGCTGACATTCTGTCCCCTAAGCAACCACCAAGATCCTACTGCCTACACATATTTAGTAACACTCAGAAAAATATGCTGGTAATTAGATAGTGTTAATAAATATCTTTCAGTAAGTATGAAAGTTTTCTACATGTCCTAGTTTACATTATGAAAGAAGTTTTTATGAGTGAGAATATTGTGAATGTTTAACACTTTTCGACTAAACAGTTGTCTTCTACTTTGGTTAGTTTTTTTTTTTTTTAAACAATCATTTATTAAAACTTTTCCTTTAAAACTTGTATTTTATTTAATGTTTTTGTGAAATTCAGGTAGAGTAGCTTTTATACTGTTAATTCAGCATATACTAAAAAAAATAAAAGCCTGTTCTTACAATATATTTGTGGGCATTTTATTTTGCAGAGAAATTCACAATCAGACAGGCTCACCTGGCTGCATGTCCTCACCTCATGTGCTTGATAACCACCTTTTCTCTCTTTCTTTGTTTCTCTTCTGTTGTTGTGAGTGTGTGTGTGTCTGTGTAAGTGTTTGTGTATATTGTTTTGTGTATTTAAAACAGCTGCCTGTCTTCACCTCTGCAGTGCTGCCGTCTCCTGAAACCCTGCATGTTTATAAAGTATGTTTTCTCCATTTTTATGTTGTTCTTGTAGTTTTTGTCCTCAGATGAGGTTTGAAGTGTCTGTATCCAGGCTGCAACCACCTGTAAAAGGTGGAGGCTCACCAGGACATACACACCTCAGAAGTTCCTGGTTCTTTCCAGTCCTCTGTAGAAGGTTTTTTCCGAGGAGGGCAGTGAGGCACAGCCCCCCGTCCCCCGGCGCCCCCTGCGATGCCCCCCTTCTTAGGGAAACCCTCTGCAGAGGAGCCGTGAGAGCAAGGAACTTATGACTTGTGTATGTGCACTCAGGCATCACTCATACCTGCTCTGTAGACAGTTCCTGTCAGAAGGAGGGGGCACAGCAGTGATGCCGGGGGGCAGAAGGTGGTGCCTCAATGCCTCTCTCATTCTGAGAGTGTAAAACAAAAAAAAACAATATCAATCATATTTATATACAGCTAAATTGTCAGTGAACATTTGATCCCCACTTGGTCACAACAGATGGCAACCAGTCTTTTCAGTGTATTTACAACTGAAAATATTTTTCCAGTAATTAACAGTGTATAACTGGTATAATCTTTTCATTCTTCCAGTTTCTCAAACATGAGAATTGAGAGGTCTTTCCATATAATTATTTAATTGCTTCAATTAATTATCAATGTGTAGTCAGGATTTTGTTAACTGAGAAGGATATTTTCCAATAATTTCTGAAGATTGAAACAAAAAATCAGCATCTGCTGTGAGAACAATATTTAGCTCCAGCCATGTGATTAAAAATATATCCTAATGTCCTGCTAAACTCACTTTGTACATGGAAATAAAATGATAGTGTTCAGCTCAAAGCATCAGGGAGGCACTCTTGTTAACCTTTTCCAAGCTTGTGCCAAAGCCTGAAGCTTTACTTCTCTGTAACCTTTTACGCCAGCCTCAAACAATTTTCAAAACAAATGGGAGTAATAAGATGAAAACAAAGGTGCAGAATGATGCTAAAATTCTCCAGTCGGCTTTAATTACAGCACCCTTGTGTATCAGTACTGATTCCTAATTGGCTTTGAGATTATTCCTCCCCTCTATCTTTTAAAATTTTTTATTACTGTGACCTTGAAAACTGCAGCCAATGAGAGATAAGGTGCCGAAGCATCAACAGATGGGATTTCTAATTCACTCACTTCATTAGCACCAGATCATCATTTTCACAGGTTAAGGAGGGCCATTGGCTGGGTTGCAGGTATAATTGGTTCTATCGTTGCTGGCAAGCAGCCAGTGAGTACAGTGATCAGTCATGCAGCGTCTCTAATATGGACAATGCTCACTGTGAGATGAACTGAATCAATCACCGGCCTGCAGAGCTGCTGGATAAATTATGAGTATAATAGGGGTCAGGATCTTTATAATACATCTGTGATTAGCCATAGTTGAGCGAAGATACTCAACTTAGAGAAAGCATTGTTTCACAGGGCTATAAGTCAAGGATGGTGCTAATGTAGGAAGTTTTATTAATTATAACTTTGGCGATGCAAGCCTGAAAGGAGAAATCTGTATTTAAATTATTGCTCCATGAATAATTCCAGAATTGCAAAAACTGTCAACTGTCATCAGCTTTATGTTCTTCTATTTGTTTTACATGGTCAGAGTTGGTGTATTTCACTCTGGCTGTCATTTATCACTTTCACATAATTAAGTGTATGAAATTTCTCACATGTGTATTAATTGTATTCATTTACACTTTTAACTGAGTGTATTACAAATATCACAGTGTACACTGTGATATTATAAACCATTCCTGATTAATTCCCTGACATGCCAAACACCAGTGCTTCAGATTTAGTTTAGTTTAGCTTTGCTTTCCTTCTTTGATAAAACTTCAGAAATATTTAAAGATGTGACTCTAATGCATCCTGGGCAAAGGAAAAGGCATATAGCGAGTTGTATTTGAGACAGGACACTAAGGAATGAGAAAAGGACTTGTATTGATTGGGTAGGAAGAGGGATCAAGCTGAAAGGATGTGCAGCAGGTTAAGATGATTAAAAATAGAAATTGAAATGTACTAATGAGTGAAGAGAACATGTTACGTTTCTAGAGGTGGGCGGAGCAAAGAAGCTGTCCCGGATGTGCCCGTTAGCGACGTCTAGTAAACAGGAAGTATGATGCGAGAAGCGGTTAGTTCAACTGAACTCCAACGAACAATAAATTTACAACACTTTGTTAGAAAATGAAGTACGAAAGGCTTTTGGGCTCTCCCAGAAGTTGCAGTTGTTCTCTGTTGATGGCCTATAATAAGTTTGGCTCCTTTGAGGCCGCTCGGTAGTCGCTAAACTTTGGCTAGCCTGCTGGGTAACTTAGCAGGATTGTTCAGAGGATGTGTTCGTCGACTTTTTTTTTTAGCGAGTTTTCTACGTGTTTAGCCTGATGTCGGTAGCGTTTCCTTGGTTTATTTTGTTAGTTAGCAGACTTTACGCGTAGCGGTGGGACAGCTACATGTCGTCGTTATGGCAGGCAAGGAGCTGAGTCTTATTGACAAGAACATAACAAGGTAAAGTTACCTATTCACAACTAATGTATCAAAATTTACATTACATCAGCCAATAAGGGACTACTATGTACCACTGACGAACCGATTAAGTCTGGCATGAATATTTACCTACTTCATGACGAGCTTTACGTTACAATTTTAATCTGCTAATAAACGTGATGTTTATATGGAACAATAAGACCCCATACAAAGTAAACTATAACTCATTGCTGTATGAGAATGACACGTGTGAATAACATATGAATAACATTTTGTTGACATCAGTACCATTCTTCAATTGTATAGATCTGATTCTAGATAAGATAAAATAAGGTGATACATTCCTGCAAGTGCAGACAAAGAATGCTGTAAATAATGTTGAATTGCGAAATGAAGTAACACAAAAATTTTATTTATCTAAAGTAAAGCCTAGATAAGTTAAGCACTGTGGAGAAAAGGCCTATATAGGTTATTAGTGTCATCTACTTCATTATCTAGTGACTACAGATTTTAAAAAGACTGTATGTTAGGTGGACAAAAGCTTTGCTACCAAGAATTCAATATCACTGTCTTGCAATATGCAGACAAACAAGTGCAAATAAAAAAAGGGCTATGTGGTCGTCGGTTTTAAATTAGTTCTAAATTCCCATCTTCTGTATATAATATGAACTTTCTAGTCACTGTAATAGGCACACCTTTTCATTACAGGGTAAGATGCATTTTCTCTTAATTCATTGTGGTAATTCATTGTGAATATTTTGGTCCATATTGAAATGTTGCAGATGTACAGATCCTCATCATATCTCCAATATTCTGTTGTTCAGGTCTGGTGACCATGTATGAACTCTATCCTCACTTTCCTCGAGCCCTACTGGAATGTGATTGGCTGAGTAAATATTTGTGTTAAATAGCAGTAGGACAGGTGTAACTAATACAGTGACTGATGGGAGTATGACAGACTGAAAATCCAAACCCAAAAATATTTTAATAACAGAGACCTATCCTCTTAGCTGAAAAGCTGTAACCAGAGGGCTTGATTTTTCTTAATTTATTCGCCGTCAGCACTTGCCAGTTATTCTGTTTGATTTCTAGTATTTCATGTTTGATTGCTTTTTCAGTTCTCACAGTTTGCGTAAAGACTATAACTCGTGAATACGGAGAGAATAGTAGAAGTACAAGTAGAATCATCAGTCAACTGAGAGACACTTAGGCAACAGAAACTGTATTTGCATAAATGCCACGTTTTTAGTAGTCCACAAGAGGTTGCTTATCTGGAATATTTTCTTTGTAGTAAAATATGAGAATTGTCTTTAATGTCATTGAAAACTAAATACCCTCTAAGTTTTAAACACTTGGATTGAGTTTTTAGAATTTTCAGAGGAGATTTTACATCATTTAAAGTAAACTGTTAAGCAATTGATTAAATAAATTAACAAATGTATTGTTATTGTTATAATAGTCATTAGTTGGTACACATTTATCTTCAGAACATGTACTTATTTGCACAAAGTTTTACCTTCCGCTGTGAATCTGACCTTGTTGCCCTCTTTCTAGCTTGCTAGATATTCCCCTGATACCCACTGTAGCGTCACTTAATCTGCACTGCAATCACATCCCGAGGATCGAGGGCCTGACCTCAGCTTGGCACCTGCGACACTTAGACCTTTCCTCCAATTGCATTTCTAAGATTGAGGGTCTGAGTTCCCTCACTTCCCTGAGGACTTTAAATTTATCCTGCAACTTAATCACCAAGGTTGAAGGTGAGTCTTTAGTCACCATTTAACAGAGATAATAAATGCCTCTGCTCTCTGTGAGTTCTCCAAGTAATAATTCTTTATTAGTGGATCTTGTGTTTACCCTGACATTGCTGTCACTGCTCTATGAGCTGTAAAATCACTCAGTTGTTAATGTCCTCTCCCTTCACTCCAGCACTGAATGGGCTTGTGAATTTAACGAGATTAAACTTGTCCTACAATCAGATAAATGATCTCAGCGGTGAGTTGAATTTTGCCTGAACAGTGTTTTCTTTTTCTGCACCCAAATGAGAATGCTAACAAGGGAATGATGCTTCAATGCTGTCAATTCTTCATGCCTTCATTAGGCTTGTTGTATCTCCATGGCACGGAGTACAAGCTGAAACACCTCAGTCTCCATAGCAACTACCTGGACAGCATTGATCACCTCCTGCAGTGCCTTCTGGGAATACAAGGGTTAAGAGAGGTGACTTTAAGTCAGGATGGCAGAGACAACCCTGTCTGTAGGTCACCAGGTAGGAAACCTTAACACTCATAGACAGGAGCCCTGTTCACATCTATAACAAAAAACTGGTACTTAACGATATTCAGAGGGTGAACAGTGATTGTAGAAATACAGATTTAAAATGCAGAGAGAACGGAAGCAACAAACAAGCCAGAAGCTTTGTTATATGTATTCAATATCTTATCTGAACCACAAGGCCAGCAGACACCTCAGCTGATAGAGGCTGTGACCACTTCTGTATTGGAGTGCAGTTGTATCAAGCAGCTGATTGATGTGATAGCTGTACATGTTGACCTATCAGATGTGTAAATGCACTGGCCTGATGTAGGAGAACCAAACAAGAAGGCTTATGTTTTTTGGGATGGAATTTTCATTAAAACACAACACATTGAAAACATGGTTTATCTAAAAGGGCATTAACTCAGCATTGAAAGTCATTGTACTTGTATATTTGAGCTGTTTCCCTCTGAATTCATTTGTTTCTGTTCCTTTCATTTTTAGTATGAACCTGTAGCTACACTGAATGTGTAATAACGTACGCCCAGCAAGTGCAGCAATACGTTTTCACTGACATCAATGTAAATGGCTATATTAGAGAAGCGCCCTAATGGTGCGTGTGAGATTTGCTCCTCAAGCGGAAAAATATGCCAGTCTTCCATATATTTATTTTTTACGCAATTTGTTCAGTCTTTTTTGCATTTTAAAAAAAAATGTTTGCGTGTGTGTATGTGTTTTTTAATGGAACCAGCAGTATACAGGAAATGACTTTGGGACTTATTTTGCCAATAGGAGCTCACTGTTGCAAAGTAAATTTGTCACTTAAGTAGTGATAAAACTGTAGTCTGTAATTCATACTAAATTAGCTTACTCATATTGCATACATTTAGTGTCAAATTTAAAGTTTTAAATATCTACAAATGCTGTGTTGTCATTGTTGTCCAAGTGTATGTTAGTTAGCTAGATGAAACATATCTTGTGGAAGCTTTTTTTAGGTGCTTTTTCAGGTGTTACAACAGTGGGGTGAGCTAGTTGAGGTTGGTCTGATCCCAGCTTGTGTCCCACAAGGAATTGTCCACAAATCCACCCTCGTAATTGAAAGCCACATAGTTGCTCTCTCTGTGGTTTTGGCAGCTGATTTAATGGTCCTCCTTTTGTCAGCGGGATCACCTGCCTTTCCTTCAGCACGCATTCACTTGACATGCTTTCAATTTCCTCATCCATATGATGTTCCCAGAGTACTATTATTTCCAGCATAATCACTTCCTTGGTGAATGTGGATACAGTGGTCACGTCTGGCTGCAGTTTTGATAGTATAATCTGGACTGAGAACTTCGGCTGCTTAACCAAGGTGGCAGTTTCAGCTTAGGGGCGAGATTTCTCTCCAATTCTTATAAAGGTGATAGTCATTGGCTGATGGTTGCATCTGGTGTTTCTAAAAGCATTTACCTTGAAGACCTGGTCATGGCACCAGCAATAGTGCTTGCCTCTAAAGGCTTTTGGACAGCTATTGAAAAGATGCTCGTTGGAACACCTTCCAGAGCAAAGAGGGCAGGGAGGTGTCTCTCTGTTGGCCCTGGAGGTTTTCTAAAGTGGATAGGACATCAAATACACCTTGGACAAAGAAGTCCAGTCTCTCCTAATGCCTTAGGTCATTGTTTTGAGTAAGAAAAGCATCTGGCAAGCTGCTTGGTAGCTGTTCATTCTTTGTTTAAGAACATCCCAAATTTACCTTTTGTCAGGCATTTTGCATGTATCACATAGTGATGTAGATGAAAGTCTGGACTGTCAACAAGGTGTTTGCTAAGTAGCAAAGAATGGATATAAATTCAGAAGAATAGGGGAAGAAAAACTCCCTTTGACACTTTGCAGACATTTAACATGTACCAACAAAGTCCTATAACACACTGAAGGAATGGAAAAATCCCAGGAAACATAATGAGGGCACTTAAATGGAATGTTAACCATCTAATCTCACAAGTCAGTGAGAAATCATCACATCAGCTACTATAAAAGATTATTATTGTCATTATTATTATTGTAAGATGTTCATTTTGTAATAATACTCTGTTAGTTGTGCTTTATGGTTGTGTCTCTGTTGTGTGCTCCTGGGCAGAGTTAGGCTAACTTCAGATTTGTGTTTAGTTTTGTAAGAAGGAAGATTAGAGTGCAGATGGGACTCCAGGGGGTATGATATTTTGGCTTTATTGATGGAGATAAGCACTAATGAGGTTTCCTGTTGTGGTGAACCAAAGACTATGATGTGATGTTTACTGCAGATTGACTGTGGTAACAAGGCCAGGGTCTCTGATGGCAGGGGTGAGAGGAGATGAAAAGTTGGAATTGTAACTTTTTTCCAGGTCTTAAAGATCGCTTCTTTGGATTACACTTTATTTTGAGCATTTCCGCATCAAATGCTAGTATGTCAGTTCGCTGAATTTGCAAAAAGCAAAATTCAGCGAATTATATATATATATATATATATATATACATATA